TTACTTCCTTGTTTTGATTTTAAAAACCTTCCTTTCTTGCTTGCTTGCTTTCTTGCTTGCTTGCTTTCTTGCTTGCTTGCTTTCTTGCTTGCTTCATTAATCCATCAGCTCAGAGATTGTTTCAGGTTTTTCATTCTCCTATCCCCAAGGATTTCCAATGGGAGGGGGTGGGGGTTAGGAATATGAAGATTTTTGACAGCTTTTTTGGCTTGCCTTATTCATTCAAAACTCAGTTTCAAGAATCGAATCATTGCATACATATTTGATTAAGGAAATCGACCTCTTTTCCAATGAAGCAGACTTGCCCCAAGTCGACCTCTTGTCTCCAGACATTTTGTTTGGGGGGGGGGGAGGGGAGGGGAAGCGAGAATTTGTTGATTTCATACTGTAAAATCACCCACGTGATTGCGATTATATATGTTGATATTTTTATCCAATTAGATCTTGAGTTTGACACAGCAAGTTCAAGTCATTGGCTTTTTACCACGTGACTACTTCATGACCAATCATCTTTACTGTCATTTTCTTATCCAATCAGGTCTCTAGTCTTGGTAGTGGGAATGATCACGTGATGGATGCCATTTCCCAGTGCGAGCAGTACGCAAAAGAACAGGGAGCCCAAGAAAGGAACGCACCCTGGAGACTTTTTTTCCGCAAAGAGATTTTCTCCCCTTGGCACGATCCCTCGATTGATAAAAGTGGCACAGACCTTATCTACCAGCAAGTCATACGAGGAATTAAGTTTGGTGAATACAGATGTGATAAGGTAAATGGATTTTATTGTATAGAACGGTCTGAACCCAGGTGAATGAATGTTAATCGAAGTATTATGATCATCCGGGTGGATGTAGTCCTGAGAAATAAATGGATTTTATTTCTAATATTTTTATTAGCAATAATTAATATAATTTTAGACTTGAATATAGAGTTTCTCGCGCTGTGATTGGTTGAGCGACCAGTGATTCTTAGTCGATAATCACTGCTCCAGCGGTAATTATGAGGTTTTCCAAAGCTTGTCAGAGCGGAAGTAATGCTAAAACAATTTTTTTTTTAATCCTTATTAATTTAGATTTTGATATTCGAGTCTAAATTAAGTCCCAAACAATTATTCACCTCAGGCTCAGTGATTTTGGGGAATACTTACCTAGCAGACTTGCGGCCCTTGAAGACTCGCGGCTCGGTAAATATTCCACCGATAATTACTTTGCTTCAGCGAATATGATTACGTAATATGATCAAAGGAAAACTGGTAACGAGAAACAATCTCGCGGCGCATAGGATTGTGGGACCGAATTTTAAGGGGCTAGGTTGACGATCTTTTTAACTCTTCCTCGTTACGTATTGGAGTCATTTTCCCCCTGTAGTCCAAGTGCCAAAAATTGGCGGAATGTTACCACCTGATGTGGTAAAGGCTATCATACATCAAATAAAGCTTATCGTCTGTAGATTACAAAAATATATGATAGCAATGCTGAAATTACAGCTAAAGTTGTGTCACGTGACCTTAAAATTACAAAAATATACAAATTAGCTTTTTACAGATGATACAAATCTTTAAAAAAAGCAATTGAGAAGTCTTTCTTTCTTTCTTTTAGATGTTTGTTGTCTTAGGGTAGTTTGTTATTGTGTTTGTAGAATATTTTTAGGCAGGTAGCTTATGTATTGGAGTCTTTTTCCCCCTGTGTTTAAGTAGGTTGTTTATTGTATTAGATGTTTGTTGTCTAAGGGTAGGTTGTTATTGTATTTGTGTTCTATTTTTAGGTAACGGTAGTTTATTGCATTGTAATGTAGACGAGTGGCATTAATGTAAAAAATGTAAGGTTTTCTTTCTCGATTTAGTGAATTACGTCATGCTGTTTCTTTCTCAGTGTAAATGCACTACTTTGAGGTTATTAAACTGACATCATTAAAAATTCATTCTTCACAAAATCGAAAATTGTTTCGTTCGTCATTAGAAACCGCTGTCGAAAAAAGATTTTTTAAAAGTTTTTTAAAACTTAGGTCTCGGTTAATATTAGAATTTTTTGCTTTAATTAAAGTTTTCAAGTTAACTTTCAGCTCATATTATTATTATTATTATTATTATTATTATTATTATTATTATCATTATTATTATTATTATTA